GAATTCCAGACTGATGATCTTCCAATCCCCTTGAGTGACAGGACATGCAATCACTGTGTCCTTGTAGTGGTCTACGATGGCTTGGCACACCTCTGGGAGAAAGATGGCTATGGTGTGTCTTGACACTCTGAGTGGGAGGGGTGCTTGTCTCCAGAGGCTAGATGCCTTATGGTAACTGCTGACTGCTAACAGACCAGGGTGCAGAGCTTTCCTGAAGTTGATGTCTTTCCTGGTAAGTCTAGGAGACAGCGAATTAAGCAGTTCATCAAACATAGCAGGAGGCATTTGCAGATAGTTTAAGAAAAAAAACGTGTCTTCGAATCTGAGTTCAGATAGGAGATTGTCATAGTTTCCAAAGTGAAATCTTCTTCCAATCTCAACCTCGGACATACCCAAAACCGTTTCTGTTTTCTTCTTCTTTTTGGTGTCTGGTTCCTTCTGTATTCATAGATATCTATTTCCAATCCAATATGTTGTTGCAGCAGAAGAAGTAGTTGTGCAGCTGTCAGCATGTTGCTAGATAATTAGAATCGGCTGTCATCGTCAGCTTTTATATACCAGAATCGGGTCTATTTTGTGGTTTGGAGGCCGATTTTACGTGTCTTACTTGGCAATTACATACATACTTAACTGGGCGTCGATCGGTTATCTTCGCGTGTAATCGGCAATTACGGCAATGAGTCTTCGATATCGTAAGTTTTACATCACCGTGTCGGCGAGCATCGTGAGGAATCGGGAGTGAACAGTAGATATATCGCCGCAAAAACGTGATATAAACGTAGCCAATCGGCCAATACTGGGTGAAACCGTATCAACAACGGGTGCTCAATCGCAGTGTTATCGGTGTTTATACGTAAGTTTACAGTCTCTACATCGTCCATTACGTAGGCTTATCGTAGATACTGCGCACAAAAGGAAACATAAACAAAAATTGGCCGATTGAGAACGATAACATCGTAGGTGACGAATCGGCACTAGTCGGTGTAGTTTTGATTGGTCGTAGCCCAGTGAAATGGGGGCATTACATATATAAATGTCACTTCGGGGTCCCGATCCACAAAACGTTCGTAGAGCTACGACATTCGTAAGCCTATGTTAAACTATAGATTACGACCCGTCGTAACTTTACGAACGCTCTGTGAATCGGGACCCTGATCTAGTCAGTGATAACCAGAATGCTATTCAAACACCTGCCTGCGTCGTCTCAAAAGATTCTACCTATTTCCCCGCCATCATTCGGGGGGAAGGGAATAACACAGGGTACTGACATTTGGAGTGCATTATTAATGTTAAAATCGGTTGACAAGCACACAAATACAGAAATCCGGACAAATACGGGTAGTCGGACATATATGTGGCAGGGGCGGATACAGCATTTTGAGAAAGGTGGGGTGCACAGTTCATTTTCACCCGTTTTCACGAGAGAGTTTCAATGGTCATATCAACTTTCAGGACAAAAGAGGGGAGCATCCCTCTGCATCCGCCTATAGATGTGAGCCTTCCCGTTGCCATGTAGCTCCAACGAAACAGCTACCTCACGTTAAACCCCATAAACCTTTTCAAACGTAAATCGCCCCTCTCTCTCTTTTCTCTCTGTGTGTGTGTGTGTCTCTCTCTCCCCTCTCTCTGTCTCTCTCTCTCTCTCTCTCTCTCTCTCTCTCTCTCTCTCTCTCTCTCTCTCTCTCTCTCTCTCTCTCTCTCTCTATATATATATATATATAGGAACGATAAAACAAACCAATGAGGAAAAAGTAATTGCTTTTGTATCTACTTATAATCCGTTTAACCCAAATGTGTTCCAGAACATAAAAACAAATACGTGCATCTTACAACAAGATGAATAACTGACATCAATGCTGAAATCTAGAAAAATAATAAATAGCAAAAGACAAAATCAGAATCTTAAAAAGATACTAACAAAAGCCAAATTTATTTTAAAGAAACAGAATTTATTAAATCCTACTGTGTCTAGATGCAACAGAGGTAACTGTGGAACGTGTCGACATATTGTTACAATACATTTATAACATAACATGTATACATTGCATGCTAACAAAAAAACACACAACATTTTAACATAGAATACCACAATATACCATAACGTACAGCTCAGGACATCACCACATAAGTTTATAACATAACTCAACTCAACAAATTTACATGAGGAAAGGGTATGTTTTTAAGAATAACTCTATAATAAAACTCCGAGTAGCCGAGCCCTAGTTCATCAGATATGTATGTCGCGACAACTGAAAGATTCTGGTGATAGGTCACCGAAAACACAGGGTTGACATGATCAAACAAATCTACTACAGAAGAAAATATGTACCCACGATCCTGAAGCTTAAGCTGTTTTAAAATAGAATTAATTGAAAACAAAACCCAAACGCGTACGAGCAATGTGTCCGTGTGGGAAATGTCGGAAAGCGCACGTAAAATCTCTAAATCATCCTCACAGTCTCCAATGTCCGCTCAGACAGTTTCAACAGGGCGCAGCAGTCAAATAGTGACGACAATTATAGGAATAGACTACACAAGCTGGTCAAATCCTTCATTAGGAAAACAGGCTGTCACTTCAGAAGAAAAGAAGGTATACTGTTGAGAACCTGGATATCGCCGTTTATGTAACTGTACTCCATCCCCAGGACATGTCCGGTAATGACGATGGAGGTATGGGGACGAAGGACATGAACGTCACCCAGATTGGGTCGAACAATGAGGTTCGGATACAGAGAGAGATGAGGGACGTCTACATTATCTTTAACGTCCAGCCGGCAGACCTGAAGCAGGCCCAGAGTAAGTACAAACTGAATGATTAGAAGACATTTTATTCAAGTCCTTCAAATTCACTTTGTTGTTAAAGGAGATCAACTGAATATAAACTGAACGGTTTTTCGATAAATGCCAATATGAAAAAAAAGGTTTGTGTAAAAAAGAAATAGTAATAGTAATAGTCCGCTTATATGGCGCTCATATCAAGGAACATTGCCTACTCACGGCGTTACGTACATCACTATCCCCCTTCACAGGACACTATCGTACTTTCCGATACGTTTTAAACTCCCTGGGGATCATACATCCATGCTGCAAGTTAGGCGCAATGAACTAAACACTCATATTGCCAGCACATGGGTACCCGACCCATTCGGTGTGTCGGTGGTAGTATTTGATATCATATTCATGATCAATTATTCACGATCGGAGCCCGGTCCATTTTCTTCCAAGTAAACTGTTTCTATTGGATGGTGTAGTTTCTACTGTTTGTTGATTTCACAGGATGGGATTCTTTAATTGCCCGAATCCCACTACCAAGAGTTATCTCCTGCCAAATGTCATATTATGTGTTTATATCTAGGGTAAGTTATTCTTTGACAAAAAAAAGCAAAACGTTTTCAGGTTCGAGAAGCGTGAATGTGGTCTGCACGTTTAGAGACATATTGTGGTAGTTTGGGAAGTGATTATGTCAGTTTTACTCGTTAAGCAAATATGTCTGTGTTTAATAGCATTTTATTCTTTGTGCCTTTGATGTTAGAAAGACAGGTGGTGTTTGACCAGACCAGTAAATAAAGTACAATTGTTTGAGGCATTTATTTTGTGTATGCGATACCGTCATTAGAATTTCGGTTACACTTCGAAATGTACTGGTTATACACACGGTCGTAATATTGCTGTTAAAGCGGCGTAGAACTAAACTCACTAACTCACCTTTGTTTCAGATTCTGTGGCAAATGGTGAAGTCCTTGCCAACTTACTTTCGAGAGTGATGACCATCTGTCGGGGAAAGCGGATGAAACGCAGACCAAGGTCAGCACCAGGAGGGAAGAAATTCCACATGACTCTGAGAAGTCATTGTAGAGGTCCATAGATGATACATACCTGTATTTAAACAAAAACAAACACGAAAACAAAAACGGTCCTTGATGGTACATACCTGTACTCGAAGAAAAACAAAAGTGTAAAAAAAAAAAAAAAATACCCCAAGCATTTTTGGGGGTGGTGTGGTGGTGCCAACAGAGATACTATTTTGTCGGTCACTGTCACAGTGAAAACACACCACCACCCCTCTCATACAGCAAGGTCTTGCAGCTAAAGCTAAGAAAGTACCCACTGCTTAGGGTCTGAAGTACTCCACGAGGTTAAACAGGCGTTATCCTGGGAAGCAAGCCAAAGGCCCGTCTGTGCCTATAGATAGCTATACTGAACAAAGACACTATATTTCCTTGATCAGTATATGTTCGGAAACAGGTAACAAATATATGTCACTAATGCTGTCCAAAACAGGTGGTACCCACAAACGAGAGTCTGAAGAACTCGACGAGGTATAAATACGCCTTAGACCGCGACACTAGCCAAAAGGACCGTCTGTGCCTATAGATAGCTATACTGAACAAAGACACTACATTTCCTTGATCAGTATATCTTCGGAAACAGGCCAACAACAAACAAAATACGAAAAAAAGACTCATAATGGAAAAAAAGAACAGAAAAAAGTGAATGATTTTTATGCATGTTGTTCCTACATTTAGTTACTAGCTTCAGTGTTATTTTTACAATCTATGTAGATGATCCACATGTGCACTGGCCCAACGACTTGTGTCGACCGAATCGGGCTTTTACATAATGTCCGTTGTCAGTTGGGACTGGAATATTTCTTAGCCACATAAGTATATATTTTATTCATATGATCCTCACTGGCTTATCCCAATATTTCTTTGATTGGCAAAGGCATTCAGTATTAAACTGTCACATTTTGGCATCTTATATGAGAAAAGGCTTTGAAAAATATTATGACGATAAATAATTAAATCAAATAATGTGTTTTGGAAAAGTATTGAAGTAGCCTGAAGTACAATTATGAATGATTTGCCGGTCCATCAAAGGAACAATGGATATCCTGTATCTAATACAACTGCCTATGAACAAAAAGACAACTTTCATTCGTTTTCATTCCGTTTCGAGAATGAAGATGTTGTGCTTGTTCATGGGACATGATTTAAGGAATACAGTTCGCTCATTAGGGGTGCATCAAATTTTCGAACTATGTACACAAAGTAATCTACCTCAGATCATGCAATATTCTCTCAGTTGGATCTGTCTTTGCATTGCATCGGAATTCAGCCAAGTTTAAATTGTGTATTTTGTAACGATTATTGTCTGTGTTAAGATAATTCAAGTAGGGAGAACCTGAACTATTTGTTCAACATGTTTCACATGAGAAAAGTAGGAGTATCAACATGTTTTACATGACAAAAGTAGGAGTATCAACATGTTTTACATGACAAAATTAGGAGTATCAACATGTTTCACATGAGAAAAGTAGGAGTATCAACATGTTTCACATGAGAAAAGTAGGAGTATCAACATATTTCACATGAGAAAAGTAGGACAGTTTATAGGACTTTTTACATGGTATTTTTTCTTAACACCGATGAAATATTTGTTCAAAATTGTCACTATCATTTCACGTTAAACGATAGTTTGACTGATGTTTGATTAGAGGTACATTTCTTTGTAATGCACTACACTGACGACGGTTGTCCCACATCATGTCTTTCATTTGCTTGTTTGGTTGCCTTATGCAGAATTACTGCGGTAATAAAATGTACAAAAGAAACATTTGTGTGTTCTTCTTTCTGGTGAAGAGCATCTCCTCGTGTGTGGACATTTCCGTGTTGTGACCTTCACCTTCACTCATAAAGAGTGTTTCCGGTAGAGCAATGGGCATCATTTTCCTTGTTTGTTGTTTAATACCGCAGGCAGCCATTTTCAACCTGCTTTCAAACTGTAAAGAACTGAGTGTCCACCAGACAAGACAGAGATTGACATGCATGATGATGATCGATATAGGCAGTTTGCACATGACCTTGTCAGCAAGCCTTCTCGCCTTGAACGGAAGCATCCATGTTACTGTTAATTAGTAAGAGGTTGATATTCCAAAGTGTGCTGCGTCATTGTGATAAATGAGCAGATGTGAACCATCGTACATTTGTAAAGATGTTCAAAGACCAGGGTTAAAACTGGTCTTCAGCAACTCATGTTTGTCGTAAAGGGAAGTTGACAGTTTTGGTGGTCAGGCACACATACTTGCTTGATTCATGTCATCGTACCCCAATTGCACAGTCGATGCACATGATGTTGATCACTGGATTATCTAGTCAAGACACGAATATTTACATACCGCCGTCATGTACTGAGATACTGCTGAGTGCGACGCTAGACAACAAACAAAGATGATCCAATCATTAATCAGAAGGTGCTACCAGTTCTCAAAGCCACAGTTGATGTCAACATCCATGAAAGAAACTTTCCAACTTTTAGGGAATATATATGCTGAAATATTAAATGGCAAGTTGCTAACTGTTTATAGACGTCACATCGTTCAAAGCAGTGTAAAGTTTTACCCATTTCTGACCGACATCAATTGAACAGAGTAATTGTGAACGTATAACCAGCTGAACACGTAGCTTACTACAGTACAGGAAAGAGACGCCTGTACGTTGTTTAACGAGTGTCCAGCAACTGAAAGACTATAAATAAATTGTATGAATTTAACTTGACTTCCGCCCGGCTTTCACAACTGAAGGTGTCCATGTCAAAGGGCAGCACGCATGCGCAGTCATACACAAAGATATACACCAGTATACCCTTTGTGATCTTTTCACTGCTGGAATATTAAGCCGAAATGATGGAATTTTCAGTGAAAACCTTTCACTTCAAGAAATCTAATCCCAATGAAGTCAGAAGGACAATAATGACAACCAGAATATGGTGACATTAAGTAAGATGGCGGAATTTCAATCAAACAGCTTTCACTTAAACACATCTTATCCCGATGAAGTCAAAGGACTATCATTTCATGACATCCAAAATATGGTGGCATTACTGTTCTGGAGCGGAAATGGTTATTGCAGTGAAACTAAGCAGGATTTCCAGATGGGTTTATGGGAATTCCATATGGGTATCATTTGTAAATTCGTAGTTAATGCCTACATTTACCTGGCTGGAGAAGCGTATATTGCACAACAGGTTATTCTAAAGATTAATTATAACATTTGGAAGGAAGTTTTGTTATAAAGGTCAATGCACCTGATGTACTGAGATGATGGTTTACCTTCTGATGAAGATACGGCGAGCAAGTCTGTCTGGTATAATGATGAAATCAAAATTGATGGTTAGTATATTTATTTTCCAACAATGACATTGAAAAGGTACAGCATTCGTACATGATATCATTAATGATACGGAGAAACATAATCGCGACATTAACATATGAACATAACGACTTCATCTCTTAGTCGCGTTAAATATTTGAACTTGAGAATGAAATATAAGAACATAGCATTTCAAGCCGATTGGATGGGAGTGAATAGGGGGAGAGGGAGAATCAGGGATTGACTCTATGGTAATAAGGTCATGTGCAGTTACTAATACAAGACCAAGTGTGTTACAATTTGTAGGGCTATCAACCAGGAAAGTAAGTGCTATAAATAGATTGCAATGCAATAACTCCGAGATATGTTATCTCAACACACGAAAGACCTTTCTACATGTATGTAGAGAGCATGCGCGTAGAGAACGTGACACCAGGTCACTTTGAGTGGGGAGCAGGCTTAAATTATTCCCTGAGAAACTCACCCTCGCGGACTTGGCTCACATGTGTCAACGCAGGGGAAACAGATGGCGTCGACTACTTCAGTCTTTCTTCACGTCGTCTACGACCAGTACACATTAATCAAATGGCCGCAGATCAAGTTGTCAAAAGACTTAAGTTTATATTCTATAGTGTTTGGTCATTGTTTAACGTCACGCTCCGAAATGGGTAAACTGTCGAATATGGACCTGATAATCCAGTGATCATTAGTATCGACCTTCGCAACCAGGATACGATGACATGTGTCAACCAAGTCAGCCTGACCACCCGATCCTGTTAGTCGCTTCTTACGACAAGCATGGGCTGCTGAAGATCAGTTCTTACCTGGATCTCCATTGGTACATGTTCTTTCTCACACAATGAAGACCCTCAGAACCTCACGGTGTACAGATATTTGACTAACATTCACACTCATGATCAGCTGGATATCCCATATGACTTTGAAAACAGATCTCACAGATCAGTAAGAAGTAAGTGAGTGGGTGAGTTTTACGCAACACTCAGCAATATTCCAACTATATGGCCGCGGTCTGTAAATAATCGAGTCTGGACCAGACAATCCAGTGATCAACAGCATCGGCATCGATTTATGCAATTGAGTACCAATGACATGTGTCAACCAAGCCAACGAGCCTGACCACCAGATCCCGTTAGTCGCCCCTTACGACAAGCATTGGTTACTGAAGATCAATTCTAACCTGGATCTTCACGGGTCAGATCAGTAAGAAGAATTAAGCCACAATACATTATAGAAACACTTCAGATATAAGGATTAGTCAGGTAAAGACTTACCCAAGAGTACCTGAAGTATTAAGGTGGAGGTCGAATAAGGCTGATCCGTATTAAATATATCTTTTAAACAGATTATCAAGAAACATGGATAGAAGATATATTTATTATATAAAGACGATACTAACGAGATGGAATTCCAGTCTATCAGGTGCACGATCAGGGAGATGGTTCGGTTCAAAGTAGGTTATAACAAAATACGATTACATCATCGGACAGTACGATTCCGACCGGAGGTAGTGGAATATTACTGTCGGCTGAGGAATATATGCTAATCTTCTTTTAGAAATTACTGAGATTAAAAGCTTGTGAGCCCCCTTTAAACCAGCAAAATACAACACAACCAAGTCTATTATATTCAATTATATAGGGAATATATATAGCTACAAAGAATGTCAGTACAGGTTTCCAATACAATACTATTGGAAAATCAAGATTTATGGATGTCGACTTCTTTATTGTGAATAACAATAAAAGTATACAAGAAAAATACAACAATTGTGAAATTGACATCCAAAAATGTTGTTTTTCTTATGCATTCCACTTCTAAATGTCCTTCAAAGACAATACTATAGGACCACAAATCCAAATATTGGGTCACAAATCTAAAATATTGGGTCACAAATCTAAAATAATAACTCACCAAAGTCTTGATATTACCACTAAATACAGATGTATTGATTGAAGACAGCTGTTGAAAGTTCATTGTAGACGAGGCCTCTTGAGTGGTAGGTCTTGAAACGTCGATGTTAGCAGGCAGATGGACGTAAATCCAAAGTCATCCCCCATACATCAACAACCATCCCTTATATACCTATTATACAGTTCTGTTTGTTTCTAGCAAAAGCCATGCCACGCTACGATCTTCTCACAGCTTCCACAATCCGACCGGAAGCAAAACAAACAAAGGGAGGCAACTCCTCAGCCAACTCTCAACAGGTGACATTACATAGCCCAAGTTCAAGACGAAAGTTCAAATCCACATTCAGCACCTCAAATATTTGTGACCCATGTTAACTAAAAGTTAATTATGAGACATTGTAATTAATAAATCACATCCTCATAACGAAATACATATTCCAACTGAATAGCCTACTTGTATATATCAATGTGAATGTTCAAAGCAAATAGCTGCACTATATCATATCCAAATAAATGTTCAAACTAAATGACACATTTCATATGAAAATAAATCTTCAAACTAAATGACACATTTCATATGAAATAAATGTTCAAACTAAATGACACATTTCATATCAAAATAAATGTTCAAATCAAATGGCTATATTACACATCAAACTAATATCTAATCTACATGACTATATCGCATATCAAAGTAAATGTTCAAACTAAACGGCTATATTACATATCAAACTAATATTTAATCTACATGACTATATTACATATCAAAGTAAATGTTCAAACTAAATGGCCACCTACTCTATGAAAGTAAATTTTCAAACTAAATTTCTCTGTTACATATCAAAATAAATGTTTAAGCTAAATGACTATATTACGTATGCAGAAATCACTTGTTATATATATATATATGAATGGCTACAATATATACATTGCAAACAAAATGCACCCCTAAATTTGTAATGTCTCATACCGACGGGTGGGAGACCATCAAACAACATGACCCCATACAAATGTAGTGTGTCATACATTGGGGTGGTACATGAGCTTTTACACAATATGAGCCCCAATACATGCTACGTCTGTATACGGGGATGGCTTATTGTGCCTCTCAAGCATGTAGCGTCTCATACACAGGGTGCTGCACATGGTCCATCTTCTCGTACACGTGATCCGGATGGGTCACACTGGTTATGTCTCCTGCATCTGTCGGGTCAGCCTGGTAGGTGGGGTTTCTCACGCCACCAGCAGTAACGCCTGTCTTCTTTTGCTTGTTAGTCAGGACCATTCTGTAAACAAGTTGTTAAAATATTAACTTGTATTCGTTCCGGACACGCAAGCAAATATTCGATTGATGAACATAATTCAATTCAATGCCCAAACCGTATTACATCCTGATTTTATAGCTCCTAATTTGATAATCACAGTGTAAACAAAAGTAATTGTATCCTAAATTAAATCCGTATTTTATGTTATATATAAAAAGTAGGGGTGTCACGATACACCAATCTCACGATACGATACGTATCACGATTTTAAGGTCACGATACGATACGCATCGCGATACATAATTTTCGCGCCTTTTCATAGCATTACCTTACCGGCAACGTTCGCGCTCGCTGATTGGTCTGTCAAAATAGTCTAGCCAATCACAAAAGCTGTTAGTTTCCAACCTATTTTTTAAGCAAATCTAGCTACATCTATTTATCGGAGCGATCTCGTATAATTTTACTATCAAGACTTTGAAGGAGATGGATATAGCATAAAAATTTGAATCGATAAAGTTTAAAATAGGAATCGATACACGCAAGAATGTATCGCGTATCGTATAGTCAGTAAAAATGTATCGATGCATCGATACATTCGCGTATCGCGACACCCCCTAATAAAAAGTGAATTTTAACTAAATGAGTGAGTGAGTTGGCTTTTACGCCGCTTTTAGCAATATTCGAGGAATATTACGACGGGTTTTAACTTAATGAAATACTTGACACTTCTTTCTTGTGGGTCCCTTACATTTTAACCTTAATGAAAGAATATTGGTTTCTATGGTTACCTTCTACATCGGACCAGGAGGATCACGAGAACCACCACAACCAATCCCAGAAAGACACAAACAGAAACCAGCGCCCAGAAAACAAGGCTCCAATCTGAAGTACAACATGACAGGTAGACATATTAACAACTACAAAACCATGAGGTGGTGTGGTCCTGTACATGGCAGGTAGACATATTAACAGCCACAAAACCATGGGGTGATGTGGTCCTGTGCATGGTAGGTAGACATATTAAAAACCACAAAACCATGAGGTGGTGTGGTCCTGTGCATGACAGGTAGACACATTAACAATCACAAAACCATGTGGTGGTGTGGACCTGTGCATGGCAGGTAGACATATTAAGAACCACAAAACCACGTCGTGGTGTGGTCCTGTGCATGTCAGGTAAACGTATTAACAACCACAAAACCATGTGGTGGTGTGGACCTGTGCATGACAGGTAGACATATTAACAATCACAAAACCATGAGGTGGTGTGGTCCTGTGCATGGCAGGTAGACATATTAACAACCTCAAAACCATGAGCTAGTGTGCTCCTGTACATGACAGGTAGACATATTAACAACCACAAAACCATGAGGTGGTGTGGGCCTGTGCATGGCAGGTAGACATATTAACAACCACAAAACCATGAGGTGGTGTGGATCTGTGCATGACAGGTAGACACATTAACAATCACAAAACCATGTGGTGGTGTGGTCCTGTGCATGGCAGGTAAACATATTACCAACCACAAAACCATGAGGTGGTGTGGTCCTGTGCATGACAGGTAGACACATTAACAACCACAAAACCATGCAGTGGTGTGGTCATGTGTATGACAGGTAAACATTACAAACCACAAAACCATGTGGTGGTGTGGTCCTGTGGATGACAGGTAGACAAATTTACAACCACAAAACCATGACGTGGTGTGGTCCTGTGCATGGCAGGTAGACATATTATCAACCACAAAACAATGAGGTGGTGTGGTCCTGTGCATGGCAGGTAGACATATTTACAACCACAAAACCATGATGTGGTGTGGTCCTGTGCATGACAGGTAGACATATTAACAACCACAAAACCATGTGGTGGTGTGGTCCTGTGCATGGCAGGTAGACATATTAACAGCCACAAAACCATGGGATGGTGTGGACCTGTTCATGGGAGGTAGACATATTAAAAACCACAAAACCACGAGGTGGTATGGTCCTGTGCATGGCAGGTAGACATATTAACAACCACAAAACCAGGAGGTGGTGTGGTCCTGTGCATGACAGGTAGTCATTTTAACAACCACAAAACCATGACGTGGTGTGGTCCTGTGCATGGCAGGTAGACATATTAACAACCACAAAACCATGAGGTGGTGTGGTCCTGTACATGGCAGGTAGACATATTAACAGCCACAAAACCATGGGGTGATGTGGTCCTGTGCATGGTAGGTAGACATATTAAAAACCACAAAACCATGAGGTGGTGTGGTCCTGTGCATGACAGGTAGACACATTAACAATCACAAAACCATGTGGTGGTGTGGACCTGTGCATGGCAGGTAGACATATTAAGAACCACAAAACCACGTCGTGGTGTGGTCCTGTGCATGTCAGGTAAACGTATTAACAACCACAAAACCATGTGGTGGTGTGGACCTGTGCATGACAGGTAGACATATTAACAATCACAAAACCATGAGGTGGTGTGGTCCTGTGCATGGCAGGTAGATATATTAACAACCACAAAACCATGAGCTAGTGTGCTCCTGTACATGACAGGTAGACATATTAACAACCACAAAACCATGAGGTGGTGTGGGCCTGTGCATGGCAGGTAGACATATTAACAACCACAAAACCATGAGGTGGTGTGGATCTGTGCATGACAGGTAGACACATTAACAATCACAAAACCATGTGGTGGTGTGGTCCTGTGCATGGCAGGTAAACATATTACCAACCACAAAACCATGAGGTGGTGTGGTCCTGTGCATGACAGGTAGACACATTAACAACCACAAAACCATGCAGTGGTGTGGTCATGTGTATGACAGGTAAACATTACAAACCACAAAACCATGTGGTGGTGTGGTCCTGTGGATGACAGGTAGACAAATTTACAACCACAAAACCATGACGTGGTGTGGTCCTGTGCATGGCAGGTAGACATATTATCAACCACAAAACAATGAGGTGGTGTGGTCCTGTGCATGGCAGGTAGACATATTTACAACCACAAAACCATGATGTGGTGTGGTCCTGTGCATGACAGGTAGACATATTACCAACCACAAAACCATGTGGTGGTGTGGTCCTGTGCATGGCAGGTAGACATATTAACAGCCACAAAACCATGGGATGGTGTGGACCTGTGCATGGGAGGTAGACATATTAAAAACCACAAAACCACGAGGTGGTATGGTCCTGTGCATGGCAGGTAGACATATTAACAACCACAAAACCAGGAGGTGGTGTGGTCCTGTGCATGACAGGTAGTCATTTTAACAACCACAAAACCATGACGTGGTGTGGTCCTGTGCATGGCAGGTAGACATATTAACAACCACAAAACCATGTGGTGGTGTGCTCCTGTGCATGACAGGTAGACATATTAACAACCACAAAACCATGAAGTAGTGTGGTCCTCTGCATGACAGGTAGACATATTAACAACCTCAAAACCATGACGTGGTGTGGTCCTGTGCATGACAGGTAGTCATATTAACAACCTCAAAACCATGACGTGGTGTGGTCCTGTGGATGACAGGTAGACATATTAACAACCACAAAACCATGAAGTAGTGTGGTCCTGACATATTAACAAACTTCACTAAACCATGAAGTGAAAGTGTGGTCCTGTGCATGACAGGTAGACATATTAACAACCACAAAACCATGAGGTGGTGTGGTCCTGTGCTTGACAGGTAGACATATTAACAATCACAAAACCATGAGGTGGTGTGGTCCTGTGCATGACAGGTAGACATATTAACAACCACAAAACCATGAAGTAGTGTGGTCTTCTGCATGGCAGGTAGACATATTAACAACCACAAAACCGTGACATGGTGTGGTCCTGTGCATGGCAGGTAGACATATTAACAACCACAAAACCATGAGGTGGTGTGGTCCTGTGCATACATCTCACAAATCAGTGGAAGTTAAACAACGTTGGTCACGTAGAGTCTGTGTTGACGGTGTTCGGCAGCTTGACTCCTGAGAGTTTCTATGACTTCTGTCCTGACACACAACGAAGCATTCGTGACACACGTGTTCTGACACACGCGGATGGGTACCCGGCGGGATAAGTCAGATAACTGTCAAGCTTCTAGCTCCTCCACAGGCAGCGTGAATAAAGGGGCTTTTTGAATAGCCATCATTGTCCTTTTTATTATTCCAAGACAACACCGATGCCAACTTCACCACAGTGGTGGTCATCACTGACCAGGGTACTGTTCAAAGCAGTATAGTCTGTTTGCAGTGAAAAACGTACCGATGAATTTTACTTTGAACAAAAAAGTAAAATCGGATAAAGTGAAATTACGATTGCGAATCCTCATAATTTTACCTTTCCAATTGAACATGTAAATCTCAGAATGTTATTCAACTTAGGATAAAAGTTGTTTGACAAACGATCATAGTTTCAAATCACTATTATTGGTTTGTATTACAAGGGGGTATGCACATTAATTGAAACACCGAGAACAAGTAGGGTTGGTCTAATTTAACACTCATAACGTACCGCACGTGCATTTGTTTCACTGTTCCAACTAATTCGCTTACCCCTTTGTAATACAAACCAATAATAGCGATTTGAAAACAAAGTTTTATCCTAAGTTGAATAAGATTCTGCTATGCGCCTGCCAGGTACATAGAACCCAGCAACGCTGACGGAGCCGTGTAATAAAAACCTTTTCGTGATAACTAGCTTCATTGTTTATACCTTCATGATATAATTCTTGAACCACGTTTCCGGCTTGACACGTGCCGTTAGCGGGATGACAGGGGGCACCGCCAACACATTGGTCACACAGCTTCCCGCAGCGCTCACCGTAGGTACCATTTGGACATGCTTTCAAAAAATACGCCATGTGTAAAAATCTCTCTGACGACTTGATTAGCCATCGTTCAAATCTGATAATCAAAACACTAAATTCATATTCATATCGTCTAGGTACTAAAAGCGATAGAGTCATATCAGATCTAGTGGACAGGTGAGCACCCGGAAGGTACAAAAACTGAAATACCTCCACCTACATTCAGACCATTTAAGACAACATCACGTGCACCAAACTTTAACCCAACGCTGATGGCCCGACCATTCATCGCGTTAAAGCATGACCATGTCCCAGTCATCTAAATACGCTAACCACCTTGGCCTGAATTATTTATCGGGTAATTTGAACGTCAAACTGGGATGTTATCTTTGTTCAAGATAAGAAAGCAACTCAACAAAAACTATAGTCGTAAATCTTTAGCTGAACATAGAACACCGTCGCAACTCTATAGTTGAAAGGACATCACTGTCGTGATTCTGTAGCTTGCTATTGTTCACTGTGTTCAGTCTATAGTTTAGTACAGATCAGTGTCGTAACTCTATAGTGTAACTCAGACTACAGTCGTGACGTACTTGTTTCGGATAGACTTCTGTCGAGTCTCTTTAGTTTAACCGATGATGCTGTCGTAATTCTGTACTTTCACACAGACTTCTGTCGTAACTCTACAGTTTAACACAAACTGTGATTTGAGTACCGTACGCATCATACATTGCAACCAACACCCATGTTCAAGTGGACGCTAACTCGAACAGCTCGAGCGAATGCTAATAAGACAGCTTTTTCACAGTGCCTTTGCCCGAGAGCTTCTGAACAATTTGTTGGAATTAAGTTTATCTTAATCATTACTATTATATATTATAACTCCTTCATACACACCAGTAGTGCAAGTGTCGCCAATCCAGCCAGTGTCACACCCATCTGCACAATGGCCATCGATGTTGTCACAAGCTCTTCCATTGAAGCATTTCCCACATTCCCAGGTGCACATCCGACCATACCACCCAGAGGGACAGCCTGTTGAACGATACACAGATACAGCACGTTAACACTGTGTGACAGAGATACACGGCCGTCCATACCACCCAGAGGGACAGCCTGTTGAACGATGCACAGATACAGCACGTTAACACTATGTGACAGAGATACACGTGTTGATCTACAGTAAATCCACAATCAATGTTTCAATTGTCAACGTATGCCCATAGCTGATCAAAAGATATGTACTAATGTCTTTGCCCGAGAGCTTCTGAACAATTTGTTGGTATTAAGTTTATTATAATCAGTACTATTATTTATCATAACTCCTTCGTACACACCAGTAGTGCAAGTGTCGCCAATCCAGCCAGTGTCACACCCATCTGCACAATGGCCATCGATGTTGTCACAAGCACTTCCATTGAAGCATTTCCCACATTCCCGGGTGCACATCCGACCATACCACCCAGAGGGACAGCCTGTTGAACGATGCACAGATACAGCACGTTAACACTGTGTGACAGAGATACACGTGTTGATCTACAGTAAATCCACAATCAATGTTTCAATTGTCAACGTATGCCCATAGCTGATCAAAAGATATGTACTAATGTCTTTGCCCGAGAGCTTCTGAACAATTTGTTGGAATTAAGTTTATTATAATCAGCACTATTATTTATTATAACGCCTTCGTACACACCAGTAGTGCAAGTGTCGCCAATCCAGCCAGTGTCACATCCATCTGCACAATGGCCATCGATGTTGTCACAAGCACTTCCATTGAAGCATTTCCCACAAATGTTTCAATTGTCAACGTATGCCCATAGCTGATCAAAAGATATGTACAAATGTCTTAATAATGTACTAATGTACAATATACGCTTTACTTGAGTCTACCTAATATATCATTACCATATATCCTGAAGACACTAGCACGTATGCCCCCAAGAATGGATGTGTTAAAGTACACATGGGAGCGTGGCCCACAGCCTCCAGGAAGTACATCCACTGTCCCCCTGTAAGGAAATTCAATAGTCAATTCATGGCAATATTTTGTCTTGTAGACGAAAGGTAAGTTTCAACATCGTTCTGAACGTGTACATATTTATAATGCAATTGGTATTCCGTAAATGAATGATAATTAATTTTTCTTCAGTGACGCAAAACAGCTGATTTATTGTTAAGTGGCAGTAAATAGTGTTCATGTTTATTGTTGTGATTGAAAATTATATACCGTAATTATTTAATGGCAAGCGCGCACACTGACACCCACAAACATGCATACGCATTTCAATACTGTGTCTGCATACAACCTAATGGATATTACATATGAGGCTCCATGTAACATTTACCTGTCTCCAAAAGGCCCAGCATACAGTACACCTTCGAACTCATGAACAGACAGATATGAAGTGTCGTTACGGTACACAGTGGTAACGTTCGTCTCCAAGTCCAGGGATCCCAAAGTGCGCGCCGAAGAGTCAGCGTAGTACAATCTGTGACCTGCGGCAGACGACGCCGTGTTCGTATCTGAGACAGCTGCCATACTTGACTTGATAAATAGCAATAAACCTAAATCACTTGTCCAGTATTATTCCAGCTAAATAAGGACCATCAAGTCTTTCGTCAGAAAAACGACATCTTTGGAAGCCTGGGAGGCGTTTTGTATTTTTGGTCTTGCACTGAGGATTGGACCTTTTATAAAAAACCTTATGGTAGTAATGAATAGATCGAGTCCAAAACACTGTTATCTGCCGCTACCCATTCTCTGTTGTAAATCCATCTGTTTATTATTTTAGATAATATCTTTAAAAGGAAAAATGAACAAAACATCGAAAAGGTTACCAGCTCGAGTTATTATTATTTTTTATTTTGGTAAAAAACAAGAGTGACAAATCAGCTTCATTGACGGAGTGATTTCCTAGAGATTGTTAAGATCTATTCTAAATAAGTCAAAAATGTGACTCTCTAATTGTCTTTTATATTCACATCCGCAGATGTTGAAAGACAAGGATACTGGGCAAGGTTGAATAAGTAACCCCCTAAACAGCAGAACGTGTGTACTTACCTTCCATGTCAAACATCATACCAAAATGATCGCCATTCTTTTTGTTTAGTAGGGTGACATAGTTACTCCCGTCGTAGTTCATCATTGTGATTTTTGTGGCAAATGCTAGGAACAACTTCCTGCAATGTAAAACAGTATTTCAACAGTTTGCTTTTCGCCGGCTGTCAAATCATTGCTGGCATACCTACTTTACACGGCTTTAACTTGAATCTGTTATTTCAATTTTAGTTGACTGTAATTCTTACTTGTTCCGAGTGTCGATCGCGATTCCCCATACAAGTGAATTTTCAGTCGGAACCTTTGTCAGGATCTTTGTGTCCATGTTTATCTTCCACAAGGAGCTATTATCATCATTTTGAAGGTCGAACACAAAGACTGCCCTTAGTTCGGGATCAAGGGCCATTCCATATAAACCTAAAAAGTCGAACCAAAATAGTACTTCTTTAAATACAATCACAAAAACGATACACACATCTGCTGATCTGAAGGGTGATCTCTATCAACAGTGTTTACCTCAATAAATTAAGATGGCTTCTTTAGTGGGTACGTGTTGGTGAGTTTGTTTTAAGTTCGTAATTATCAAATATCTTTACATCCTTACTTCTGGAGACGTTCACCCACGTTTCGTAGTCTTCTCCTGAAGACTTGACCCTACAAACAGACTTGAGAACAAAGTCGGACCAATAGACATAGTCCTCTACCGGGTCGTATACAGGGCATCTGGGGTTGGGGGTGTGGATCGGGAGAACACTGCAGCTGGACCTGCCATCCAGGGTACATCGGTACACGCTCCCGTTGACTTCTACACCTGCACCGCTGTCTGTGATAAACATTATCTTTTCTGTCGCTGAAAATGAAGAAATAACTATTTTAATTCTTAAATCGACGCCTTTGGGGGCATTTAGTTGTTTCGCCGTAATAAACGACCTGGATATTAACTTCAGATATAAGTACAAGGCTAAGTTCGTATATCTTGGCTGGCTGTGTAGGTCCCTATCATCAGATTTCGTCAAAAACTACATGCGAGTTGAACACTATCACTATCTGCATAGGCGGAGCCAGTTATCTTCAAAGGGGGTGGGGAGACGGAGGGGTGTGTGTGTGTGTGTGTGTGTGTGTGTGTGTGTGTGTGTGTGGAACCTGCATTACCAAAACCAGTTTTAAACAGCAATGGTTTTATATTCGTTACCCAATTTTATTTCCATCATCATTATTTTTGTTTTGCATGGACCTAATATCAGGATGTACCTTCATTAACATTGTCTCCAGGGAAAAGGCTCCTATAGAACCAGCCAAAACTGTACCTGTGGTATATACATTCACTGTGTAAATAATACCACGGAGATAATTCTGGTGTGGCTGTCTCTATCACAGCAAATATATTGATATACATACATATATATTCAGAGTGACAAAAATAGGACTGTACAGTATATTTGTTAACACGCCTGATTAACATAAGGAAGTAAGTCTTAAATAGGTGAGTCATAATATTTCCATATCATAGATTCGAAGTGTAGGCTATGATAGGTGGGTAATGTGGCATTGTGATGTAGGTTTCGACTGGGTTCATGTTAGGCTTTATGAAGGAAGTTCAGTAATGTAACGCGCAAGTGGGAAATACGACTTGTTTGTCTGGAGCTACGTCTTTGCGATTGTATATTTACAACAATAACATAGAGGTCCTTATTATATAACACTCCCTTGCTTTAACCTGAATTGTGTCATATTGTTACATTCCAAATTATGTGTTGTCTCCCAAAAATATATGCCAGGAACCGATGGAAGGATGGACAGATCGGATGGCATAAATGCTGCGCCATGCTGGATGCAGGTTAACTTGACAAAGTGGTCCTAAATATACCGTGACAGTGATTCCCGACACACAGAGCGGTGTCGCATCTGTATCACTACCTCCTAGAAACGTGGGATGTGGGCAAAGCAGGTCAAGACGCGTCACATATTCACCTGACGAGCTTTGGGTACCGAGGAACCATGGTGCATGGAGTATCTACAAAGGTTCTACTGCTACTTACAACATAGCCAGAGCCATAAAGTACTGAAGTTCCAACTTACCATTATTAGATTCAGCGGCAGCGCTCAGAAGTGCAAGGGCACACAAGACGAAGACAAGTGTAGTGTCCGCCATGATGTCACACCAGTATATCTACCCACACCAGTATATCTACCCACGCCAGCCGGGAACACGGGTATCTCAACTCTGCTCAACTATTTGTGTACGAGGAAGTATATTACGCTTCAGCACAACTTGCTTTAGATGACAGAGTGACAAAACCTGTCGGGTTGCCAGTAGGCTTTCAATGCATGTCACGCCGGTCACATCAATAATGTATGCATGTGTCATTGTGAGGTCTGAACAGTATGCGATATAAGTCATATCAACTTGCACTGCGGTTTTGAGCAGTGTGTTGAGGAGAAGAACAACCCTGCCGACTTCTTCGCTTGGATGACGTCTGGCTGGTCTGGTAAGTGAAACAGAAGATTTTCTGGTTGCTGGTAAGGACCAGTCACTCTCTCCTCAATATGTGATTTTAAAATGTAAATATGAAATGTAGATGATGTAAAGATTTTCACGAGTCTGTCCAACAGTCAGAGGATTCCTAGCGTTGGCACGAAGACAAGTAGTTTAAGTGAGGTAATTGCATGCAACCGTCGTTTTATTACCGTCTTTGCAATGCTTGTGGTTCAACCATAATACGACCCAGCATATGTGGAGGGCCTCAAGGAAAATGACAAGTGTAAAATTCTTTGGAATAAGCCCTTATACAGCCTCAGACGTATCCAAGCCAACAAAAGTGGCCTTGTCCTTTTTTTATTAAACTAGTGAAATTATGTATATGATTGAGTTTTCTGTCCCTTTTGAGACAAATGTGATTGACAAGATTCCGGAGAAACATGGCAAATATGCGGACCTCGCTTACAATAAGTCACGTGCATCCGAAGAATTAAGTTGTTCGACTCACCATTGTTTTTGGTGCCCTGTACCTCTCAATCTGCCTACTGACATTGGTTGAGAACCCGTGTTTACTGCCAGGATCACAGCCCTTCTGACACTCTGCAGGAATCTACACATTCTCCGGAAAGTTCTTGCTAGGTTCGAGAAGGCAGCGGTTCCTGGGAGATATAATTCGCTGTCTGGGCTGCATGTAAAAGGGGCAAGGGCTCTGAGCTGAGTACGAACCTAACCTGCCTGCAGTGCCTCATTTTGTCCTTTTTGATAAGGCCACTGAATTCATTTTTTGTCATTTTCTGTCCCTTTTGTCAGCAATGTGATGACCAAGATTCAGGAAAAGCATGATAAATATGCTCACCTCGCTTTTGAAATGTCTCGCTTGAATTGTAGTCGTCAGGCTGCTGAGAAACATAACAATTATCTGTAAAACATGAAATTTAGCATATTTTGGATTTTAACACGAAATAGGGTTACCGAAACACAATCGTGGAAAGGCAATAGCTACACGTGCAGCTGGAAATCTTGCAATAATGTTGGTACTGTTTCATGGACGAAACTCAGGACAGGGATGAAATACTGTTGCTTAGATACAAGTATTGCATGAGGAGGAGACAGGAATGCAAATAGGTGTTCAAAATGGTGCCGGCATAGGTTAGACGAGTCTGTATGTGATAACGTCCAAGTGACCTTGTATGCGATATTGAAGCCTGTCTCACAGCCCTGGATCATACAAGTTTCCCAGGGATGAGCAACGGGGACATAGATATTTTATCAAAGTTTACGAACAGTTCTTGCAGTTTTTAATTACACAAAGAAGTAGAATCGATGTATTGCCCCTGAGTTTAGAAGTTATTTCTATCCAAATTATGTCTTTTCAGTCTAGTAGTTTTGTATAACACATTGTCAGCAACAGAACAACTTTACGCATGCACGTTGCAAATGGTCACGTCATAGGTCTGGTGACAATTCTATGCTTACAATCGCGTATACTTTCAAGTCTCAAATAAGGTTAGTACCAATATTTCATAGCGTATGTTTGACTACTAACGACTAACAATGTGTGTAAATCGTGTAAATGTGTGTGTTTCGTTAAACATTGATTTGAGGCACAGTAAAGGACGTTATCCTAGATGCATTTACAATAGAGTGGAAAGTCGGCCATGTTTGTTGCATGCAGAAACATGGAATTGTGCACTATTTCAGAGGATCAGACGGAACCGTACAAGACAATCAGCTTTTGCCATCCAGTATGATTATGGATGGGTTGTCACCTTCCTAATACCTAAGTGTTCAGGGGCGACTCTGGGAAGGGTTGTTAACAAGGCGTGAAAACTGAAGGGCCACTGAGGGGCCACTGTGTTTTGTTTCCTCAGTGAGTCACAATGATTGCTGTACAATTCATTGGTATAGGTATACACGTCTTTGTGTTATCTCTGACTGAGACTGAGTGAAAACGCCGTTTACCTGATGTATAATGTACTCCACTGGTGGTGTCACGAAGAGCTGATAAGGCTACAGAACGTTAGTTTATCTTTATTTGGTTGATTCAGTAGGTAGACTGAACTGAGCAAGTAAATGTTACACATATTTTATCTAGTCCAGGTCCTGGTCATATTTTGGTCTACCCAGACGCTGGATGTATACCTAGCTTAACATTTTTCAAACCAGATCAATATATACGTACACCCAAGAATGGACAAATAATTAGCACATAGCACTAGACATGAATACTATGCGTGTTTAAAGACTGGCATTAAAGCAGGGAAATATGTAATAGATTCGACCTTGTGTACATTTGCAAACGACCTTGCTCGTGCTCGAGGATGTACAAGGCTAAATTTTTAATATTGATACAGGGACACATAATAAACTTGCAAAGTCTGAAATAGTATGTACATGTAAGTTAAACAATCTTGAAGATCTGTACCATTTCACCTTCCATGTCCATCCTTAAATAACGTTCGACGGCAATACATACCAAATAAACATTTAATTTGACCTTCAGCACAACAATGTATGTTCCCATGGAAACCACAAACTATCAAGATTTAAGATTTGTTATGTTATGCTTCAAATATTTCTTCAAGAGCAGAAATGAAATGCGAATCTTTTGTGAAAATAGTGACGCATATGCACTTTACGAATGTGGGCCTATGGCCTTTGATACAATAAACGTTTGATAACATGGCGATGATTGTGATGTTAGACTGATAGCGCGTTATCGGGTTCCTATCCCCGGTTTATCTGGTCTGGATTTCGTGGACGTTGTACTGGTGTTTGCTGACTGAAATGCTAAAATTCACTCACTCACTCACTCACTGTTAGTTGGTTACTGTACCGTATTTGCCTATACTTGTTTAACACAGCAGGTACCATCGATGGAGGTTTACGATGAAGATATACGGGAATAGAGGATGCAGAATGTTAGAATATAGAAACAACTAAAATATTCGAGATTACAGTGCAGATCATTGGTGCAATACGTTTCAGAATACCGTCTTTTGTTTTCAGAAAGAGATGCGACGGTGTTTTGGTGATAGACGAAGACAAAATAGGAGTGCAGAGAGAAGGAATGCCACACCTGTAAGAGATGGTATAAAGCTACTACAGCCTGGTGCCATCTGCGGCAGGAATAAAGGTGTCTCGGATATTGAGATGGACAGAGGTCGGGGTGCTGGTGTCTCCGAAACTGAGAAGGAAAGAGGTCGTTATGCTGGTGTCTCTGAAAGTGAGAAGGAAAGATGTCGGGGTGCTGGCGTCTCCGAAACTGAGAAGAAAAGAGGTTGGTATGCCGGTGTCTCCAAAACTGAGAAGGAAAGAGGTCGGTATGCTTGTGTCTCCGAAACTGAGAAGGAAAGAGGTCGGTATGCTGGTATCTCTGAAACTGAGAAGGAAACAAGTCAGGGTGCTCGTGTCTCCGAAACTAAAAAGGAAAGAAGTCGGGGTGCTCGTGTCTCCGAAGCTAAGGAGGAAAGAGGTCAGGATGCTGGTGTCTCAAAAACTGTGGACAGAGGTCGGGGTGCTGCTGTCTCCGAAACTGTGGACAGAGGTCAGGATGCTGCTGTCTCGGAAACTGAGGACAGACGTCGAGGTGCTGGTGTCTCCGAAATTGAGAAGGAAAGAGGTCGAGGTGCTGGTGTCTCCGAAACTGAGAAGGAAAGGGGTCGAGGTGCTGGTGTCTCCGAAACTGAGAAGGAAAGAGGTCGGTATGCTGGTGTCTCTGAAACTGAGAAGGAAAGAAGTCAGGGTGATGGTGTATCCGAAACTGAGAAGGAAAGAGGTCGGTATGCTGGTGTCTCTGAAACTGAGAAGGAAAGAAGTCAGGGTGATGATGTATCCGAAACTGAGAAAGAAAGAGGTCAGGGTGCTGGTGTCTCCGAAACTGAGGAGGAAAGAGGTCGGGGTGCTGGTATCTCCGAAACTGAGGAGGAAAGAGGTCAGGGTGCTTGTGTCTCCGAAACTGTGGACAGAGGTCAGGATGCTGCTGTCTCGGAAACTGTGGACAGAGGTCGAGGTGCTGGTGTCTCCGAAACTGAGGAGGAAAGAGGTCGGTATGCTGGTGTCTCCGAAACTGTGGACTGAGGTCGAGGGGCTGCTGTCATGGAAACTGTGGACAGAGGTTGAGGTGCTGGTTTCTCTGAAACTGAGGAGGATAGAGGTCGGGGTGCTGGTGTCTCCGAAACTGAGAGGAAAAGAGGTGGTGGTGCTTGTGTCTCCGAAACTGAGGAGGAAAGAGGTCGGGGTGCTGGTGTCTTCGAAACTGAGAAGGAAAGAGGTCGGTATGCTGGTGTCTCAAAAACTGTGGACAGAGGTCGGGGTGCTGCTGTCTCCGAAACTGTGGACAGAGGTCAGGATGCTGCTGTCTCGGAAACTGTGGACAGACGTCGAAGTGCTGGTGTCTCCGAAATTGAGAAGGAAAGAGGTCGAGGTGCTGGTGTCTCCGAAACTGAGAAGGAAAGGGGTCGAGGTGCTGGTGTCTCCGAAACTGAGAAGGAAAGAGGTCCGTATGCTGGTGTCTCTGAAACTGAGAAGGAAAGAAGTCAGGGTGATGATGTATCCGAAACTGAGAAGGAAAGAGGTCGGTATGCTGGTGTCTCTGAAACTGAGAAGGAAAGAAGTCAGGGTGATGATGTATCCGAAACTGAGAAGGAAAGAGGTCGGTATGATGGTGTCTCTGAAACTGAGAAGGAAAGAAGTCAGGGTGATGATGTCTCTCAAACTGAGAAGGAAAGAAGTCAGGGTGATGATATCTCCGAACCTGAGAAGAAAAGAGGTCGGTATGCTGGTATCTCGGATACTGAGAAAGAAAGAGGTCAGGGTGCTGGTGTCTCCGAAACTGAGGAGGAAAGAGGTCGGTATGCTGGTGTCTCCGAAACTGTGGACTGAGGTCGAGGGGCTGCTTTCATGGAAACTGTGGACAGAGGTTGAGGTGCTGGTTTCTCTGAAACTGAGGAGGATAGAGGTCGGGGTGCTGGTGTCTCCGAAACTGAGAGGAAAAGAGGTGGGGGTGCTTGTGTCTCCGAAACTGAGGAGGAAAGAGGTCGGGGTGCTGGTGTCTCCGAAACTGAGAAGGAAAGAGGTCGGTATGCTGTTGTCTCTGAAACTGAGAAGGAAAGAATTCAGGGTGATGATATCTGCGAAACTGAGAAGAAAAGAGGTCGGGGTGCTGGTATCTCGGATACTGAGAAGGAAAGGGGTCAGGGTGATGATGTCTCCGAAACTGAGAAGAAAAGAAGTCAGGGTGATGATGTCTCTGAAACTGAGAAGGAAAGAAGTCAGGGTGATGATGTCTCTCACACTGGGAAGGAAAGAGGTCGGTGAGCTGGTGTCTCTGAAACTGAGGAGGAAAGAAGTCAGGGTGATGATGTCTCCGAAACTGAGAAGGAAAGAAGTCGGGATGCTGGTGTCTCCAAAACTGAGAAGGAAAGAGGTCGGTATGCTGTTGTCTCTGAAACTGAGAAGGAAAGAATTCAGGGTGATGATATCTGCGAAACTGAGAAGAAAAGAGGTCGGGGTGCTGGTATCTTGGATACTGAGAAGGAAAGAGGTCAGGGTGCTGGTGTCTCTGAAACTGAGGAGGAAAGAAGTCAGTGTAACCTGAGAAGGAAAGACGTCGGGGTGCTGGTGTCTCCGAAACTGAGAAGGAAAGAAGTCAGGGTGATGATGTCTCTCAAACTGAGAAGGAAAGAGGTCGGTATGCTGGTGTCTCTGAAACTGAGAAGGAAAGAAGTCAGGGTGATGATGTATCCGAAACTGAGAAGAAAAGAGGTCGGTATGCTGGTATCTCGGATACTGAGAAAGAAAGAGGTCAGGGTGCTGGTGTCTCCGAAACTGAGGAGGAAAGAGGTCGGGGTGCTGGTATCTCCGAAACTGAGGAGGAAAGAGGTCAGGGTGCTTGTGTCTCCGAAACTGTGGACAGAGGTCAGGATGCTGCTGTCTCGGAAACTGTGGACAGAGGTTGAGGTGCTGGTGTCTCCGAAACTGAGGAGGAATGAGGTCGGTATGCTGGTGTCTCCGAAACTGTGGACTTAGGTCGAGGGGCTGCTGTCTCGGAAACTGTGGACAGAGGTTGAGGTGCTGGTGTCTCCGAAACTGAGGAGGAAAGAGGTCGGGGTGCTGGTGTCTCCGAAACTGAGAAGGAAAGAGGTCGGTATGCTGGTGTCTCTGAAACCGAGAAGGAAAGAAGTCAGGGTGATGATGTCTCCGAAACTGAGAAGGAAAGAAGTCAGGGTGATGATGTCTCTCAAACTGGGAAGGAAAGAGGTCGGTATGCTGGTGTCTCTGAAACTGAGGAGGAAAGAAGTCAGGGTGATGATGTATCCGAAACTGAGAAGGAAAAAAGTCGGGGTGCTGGTGTCTCCAAAACTGAGAAGGAAAGATGTCGGTATGCTGTTGTCTCTGAAACTGAGAAGGAAAGAATTCAGGGTGATGATATCTGCGAAACTGAGAAGAAAAGAGGTCAGGGTGCTGGTATCTCGGATACTGAGAAGGAAAGGGGTCAGGGTGATGATGTCTCCGAAACTGAGAAGGAAAGAGGTCGGTATGCTGGTGTCTCCGAAACCGAGAAGGAAAGAAGTCAGGGTGATGATGTCTCCGAAACTGAGAAAGAAAGAAGTCAGGGTGATGATGTCGGAAACTGAGAAGGAAAGAAATCGGGTTGCTGGTGTCTCCAAAACTGAGAAGGAAAGATGTTGGTATGCTGTTGTCTCTGAAACTGAGAAGAAAAAATTCAGTGTGATGATATCTCCGAAACTGAGAAGAAAAGAGGTCGGAGTGCTGGTGTCTCGGAAACTGAGAAGGAAAGAGGTGAGGGTGCTTGTGTCTCGGAAACTGAGGAGGTAAGCAGTCGGGCTGTGGTGTCTTCGAAACTGAGGAGGAAAGAGGTCAGGGTGCTTGTGTCTCCGAAACTGTGGACAGAGGTCAGGATGCTGCTGTCATGGAAACTGTTGAAAGAGGTCGAGGTGCTGGTTTCTCCGAAACTGAGGAGGAAAGAGGTCGAGGTGCTGGTGTCTCCGAAACTGAGAAGGAAACAGGTCGGGGTTCTGGTGTCTCCGATACTGAGAAGGAAAGAAGTCGGGGTGCTGGTGTCGTGGAGACTAAGGTGGACAGATATCAGGGTGCTGGTTCAGCTGAGGAAAGGAAAATATACAAGGCTTTTGGAGAGGAGCGTGGAAAAGAAAATGGAGCAGAGATCAAAATACAATTGGAGGTGGAGACATTGATGAGGAAATTGGAGGAAAAGACGTTGTTGATGGCAATCAGGGAGGAAGGTGGGAGAGATTGCAGTATGCTACTGGAGGTGGCAATAAAACTGTTCTTCGTGAAGGAAGAGAAAAACGAGACAAAGATGGCACTGTCGATGGAAAGCAGGGAGAATGTGAGAGGTTTGGAGGAAGATGGGGGGAGATGAGTACATCCTTGGAGGTGGAGGAGGCGCTGTTGTCGGTGGAGGAAGAGAAAGACGAGAAAAATGTGGCTCTGTTGGTGGAAACCAGGGAGAATATGGTGATGATGGTGATAAAATATGGAAGAAATGTCATTACAACACTGAAGGAATGGATAAAGGAAACGATGACATTTGCGGAGGAATAGAGGTGGGACTCGGTGAAGGTGCTGCGGAAGGTATACAGGGAGAATACGACAGCCATGAAGAGTGTGATAGTGATGGAGAATGTGATAGCGATGGAGAATGCAATTATAGCAAAAAGAGTGGAGATTATTGTGCTGTAGGAGGACAAAAAGAAGACATAGAATTCGGTCAAGGGAGTGGAGATGACACTGTTAAAGCAGCGCAGCAAAAATACGTTAATGGTGGCAGAATGCCGACAGGGGATTACACCAAAAGAGAAAGAATTACGAAAAGACAGGACAGCGAAAGAGGACAAAGACTGAGCGTAGATGATGGCGACAGACACAGAACAGATGCTGTTGATGGAGATGGACAGAACCTGATGGTGGACATCGTTGCAGATGTTACCAATGTGCAGAACGGCCATTCCAACATCATAGTACATCAAACAGTACATGTCAAGAATCTGATTGGTATGTATTTTCGTAATGATGCGTTAACTGTAGATCCATTCTCTTATATATGATGCATGTCATTAGCGCGACAACAGATGTTCAGAGTGTTGATATTTTATAATGTTGACGGAAATAACCTGTTGAATAGAATATCTGTTCATCTAGACCTATATATTTCAGACAGCACATATGCTTTTCTCCTTTTGATATACAAGAAATGCGTTTTGCTAAAAATAACTTAACAATTTTGGAAATTGTGTAAATATGCTTGTTTGAAAATCTGGATGTTTCTTTACTCAACATGTCCCATGAATGACATTGTGTTGATGGAAAGGGTCATACATGGTAGAATTGTAATTACTCAGAATTAGATTTGAATGCAATTACAAACAAAGTCAGGGGATTTAGATAGCCTAAAGGTCCTCTGTTGATTATTGTTTCAGTAATGCCAAGACGTGTTGGAAGAAGAAGGAAGCTTCGGCCAAGGTCACGGAAGGTAGCCACAAGATGTGCACAGACTCTTGGTGAGGTGGCCAAGGTCACACGACGTACACAGACTCTTGGTGAGGTGGCCAAGGTCACACGACGTACACAGACTGTTGGGGAGGCGGCCAAGGTCACACGACGTTCACAGACAGTTGGTGAGGTGGCCAAGGTCACACGACGTACACAGACTGTTGGTGAGGTGGCCACGGTCACGCAACATACACAGACTGTTGGTGAGGTGGCCAAGGTCAGGCGATATACACAGAGTGTTGGTGGGGTGGTCAAGGTCACACGTCAAACCAAGCCTGTGAGGCGTTACTTGAGGCCACACTGCCAAGATCAGAAGGTCTGGTGGGATCGGCTCTTGTGGGTCAGGGAGAGTGGGTTAACATATTCCTGCATTGAACACAAGTGTAAGCCGCATTGTATTGTATTCCTGTTGTTAAATAACACATTATTTAGCAACGGAACAGTTTCCGTATCCTCAAAGAGGAATTTTGTAGACACGTCCACTTGTTTAGCAAGTATTTTCCCATATCTACGAGCATGTACTGTTATCAGCTTGTCAACGAACAGAATATTGTAACGTTTGATACCGTTGTACCTCACAATAAAACAGTCGAAGAAAGAAAGCCTTTCTGTGTATGATATGTGTATGATAATATTTAGATATGTTTAAGGATCTCTCCATATGAATAAACAGAGTAATGCATAACAAAGTCTGGATTCTGCTTCAGTGGTGAAAAGATGCTGTCATTTCGAATCTAAAACGTCAAAACAGAATTTGACAAAATGGGCGCATATCAGCTTCACGAGTCAGCTGCCACTTAGTCACGGTCGTTTGCCTGTTTTAGTGAACCTCGTGACCACATGCATGGTGGCGACAAACTAACCAAGGATCATGGTCAAATCGGGGTTCGAACTACCAGTATGGACCAGATGTTCCCAGCTGTTTACCCTAAATACACGTGTCATTATCTCATGATGTCAATCAATGGATTGTCTGGTCCAGCTCCGATTATTTACAGAACGCCGTCAACCAGCTGTAAATACACAAACAAACACATGTTTATGATATACATGTAGTCAGAAGTAGCATAACATTTTTTGTGGGAAAGGGTTTTGTCACTTTAATTCCTTATATGGTTGACTGGAGCTGTGATTTGGTGGACAGAGGTTTAGTCCGGAGAACAGAAAGCCGCTTGCTCGAAACCCGACACATTGTACCAAACACTTGATTGTACGGGAACCTGACCTTAAGATTCGTTTGACCACCGACCCCTGAACACAACTCTCACCCTCCTGGGGGTGTTAGCTAAACGTTCTGGTCAAAGCTTAAGTCCATGTGAAAGGTCACCATGACCCAACTTCAAGACGCCGCATTACAAGTGGAGCCAGATCCAGCACCGAACAACGTTGTATCTCAGCTCCTCTCCATCAGTGCATTGATCTCAGACATCTGTACTACTCCCGGATGAAACTTCCAAGGGCATTGTAAGCGGAACCAGACGATCGGGTGGTCATGTTTGTCAACATAGCTGAAACGTCCCTGTACCTAACAATATCCGGACCCACCATTACGGCAAGTGGAACCACC